AAATGTTGGGTGACCAAAATGAAACTGAAATAATAGTTAGATGACTAAATACGAAGTTTACCATACTTTTATAGAAAAGAAAAGTAGGACGAGAGTATGTAGAATATAAAATTTGAGATTTAATGTCAACAATAACTAAAACGTTATTCCTTGATATTTTATTATATTCTTGATTGATATTAGGGATGGGCACTTGGATTTGACGAATTTTAATCAAAATTTATATGGTCGAGTTTATTTTTTTAACATTTAGGTTTGAGTCAAATTGATTCAAATTTTTTAGGATAGAATCGAGTTGGGTTTAAGTATAGTGTAAAACAATCTTCGACCTGACTCTACTCAAATAATACTTTTTTATATTTTCAAGGATGGTTACAATAATACTTTTTTAGTTATATTTTTTCAATAAGGTCCCCATTAATCAAATAAAAATGAGAATTATATATATTTGTATGAGATTAATTAGATGTAAGTTTTTATTCCAAAATTGAGTCAGATGAAGCCTTTTTAAATCTGAGTCGAGTGACGGATAAATGATATAATACTCTAATTGGGTTTAGTATGCCAAAAACTCAATTAATTTAACTATTCAAAAAAATATAGTTTAAAAATTTTACGTTATACAAAAGAATCTTTTAACTCTATCATAAATAATATATTAATTATTACAGTTTCGGTACATTAGAGATGGTTTAATTATTACTCAGTTAATTTATTTAAAAGTTCTTATCGAATTTATATTTTTGATTGAACTGCTTGAATTATTAATTTTTTTTAATTCAATCAATTGTGTATTTTGATACTGATTCGAGGTTGAAATGGTGTATTAATTTAGGATGTTTGTTTTCATTTTTAGTAATAGTGAAGAATAAAATATACTGGGTTAATGGTGCCCAAATCTTTGACTACCTTTATCATCCACTTTAACATGATCATCATCATATGAAGGTTGATCTTGTTGAGGACTTAGATTCCTCACCTTTTTTTTCTATTTTTTATTAACTTAAAAAAAATAAAAATTAAGAGCGTTTGTTTTCATTGGGAACAGTTTCTTATTGTATAGTTCTCAAAAGAGACGAGTAGTTCAATCGCATGTTTAAAGTACGATAAAATTATACATATAATCACTCTATTATAAAAAAAATTCATTTTGGTTACCGAAAAATTATGAACAAATTACCAAAGTTTGTTTTTGTTTACATTTTGGCTGCCTTTATTTAATTCCATTAGTATGAAGTCGCCTCTTAATTGGTTGAAAAAAATTAAAACAATTTTTTGAAAGGGTTGGAGTTAGAGATTTGCATTTGACCTGAAGTTCACGAGTTATGATTTGACTCAATTTTATAGGCCAAATTTTTTTTTATTGTTGTGAAAATTTAGAATCATGTCAAGTTTTTTTATGGATGAGATCGGATTAGGGTGAAAAATACTTACCCCGACTTGAGAATAATAATATAATTTACTTTTATATATTTAAATGTAATTTCTAGAATTCCTTTCTTCTTTTATATATTATTTTAATTTAAGTCTTTAATTTACCTAATAAAAATAATATATATATATATATATTTGTATCGAGTCAAATTAGGTGCTTATACAATTTTTTACCTAAAAATGATTCAAGTAGAGCTTCCTTAAACTCGATTTGGATTGAATGATAGATGGATGTGTATTATATGCGAGAAAGGGGCCATCCATAGTCACAATTGAAGAACGAATGATGGTCTCAGAACGTATGAAGAAGTAACGAGTGACAACTGTGTAGAGCAAACCAACGAACTTAAGAGGAAAAGAAAGATGATTTTTTTATTAATCTGTGTAGTTACAAGATAATATATGTTCGAAATACTTTAAATCATTTGTTAATGACTACTCAAATTCCCTTACAGATAATGCACTCAAACTCGAGACTCTTTATAGATAAACACTATACCAATTACAAAATTGTAATAAGATTTACAATTAATTAGTATAAACCCAATTTAAATTGTTGGGTTTATATAACCCAAACCCATAACAAACTATTAACAAACCTAACAGAATATCCAACAGGTACAACTGACACTTTAAGTATCTAACTAAACTAATATATAAAGACTCAAAAACTAATTACCTTTGATCTTCTAACATTATATTCAGGTCAGGTTTTGGATTGATATCTACTCACTGATCCTAATCGTATGTCTCTGATTCTCATATTTCATGCTTTTCTTTTTTCTTTTGTTATCTTCCTAATTGTATTTTTGAGAAATTTATTTTCCTTGGAGAATGTTTTCGTTTCCGGATCTGGATTAGCATGTGTAAATTTTATTTTAGAATGTTAAGTTTTCAGTTTTTGATTTTCTTTACGAAGTTGTAGATAAGCTGGTTTCATGATTCCTGCATACATTCCTTGGCAAAATGAGTTGATGTGACTATGATTTCTGCATGAAGTTGTGGTTTAAAATTGCCTGTGGCGTATGAAGGTGTGGTTTGCTTATCTCATGGTGGTGGCCCCTAATTTTGATGTTCTCTGGTATATTTACAGGATCCTAAGCACAAAACAATGGCCTTCCTCTTCTTACCCTTAAACTTTATGGTGTTTTCTCTCGTTTGCAGTGGAGGTTCAATGAACAATTTAATTTTTCCATTCATTGTTGGTCACAGAACTTCTGGACATTTTCAATCTATTTGAAGCCTCTTGCTATGCTTCCCTTGTTTGTTTTGCTACAACGAAGTGGAAATGTCGATAATTTAACAGGGAAAACATGTATTCTTTTTAGGGTATACCTAGTTTTGATTCATGAACTGTTTAGTAGAAGACAACATAGACCGACCACACATTGAAATTTGAACAAGCTTATGCACCGTTTCCTTCTACCTGAGTAATGCATGTATGCATGTATGATAGATTGACGAGGGAACCACATTTTTGCTTGATTTTATGATGGACATACTTGTATGTAATTTTTGCCCAATGATGGAAAGCTCATTGAAAGAGAGCAATATTTCTGATTTTCATTTAGTGGGTTTACTATCATCGTCCGTTGTCGTCACCATCATCATCATTGTTTTGTATGTTGTTTAATTTTGAAAAATGGTTATAATTTCCTGGCTAAATTTCTTCTGGGCATTTTCAATCTTTTTGGAGGATCTCGCTATTCTCCGCCAGTGTAAACGTGGACGATTTAACAGGACAGATACGTCTCCTTTTCAGGGCATGCCTAGTTTTCATTCATCAACTGTTATCGTTGGTTTCTGGCTCGAAATTTACTTGCCATGAGTGATATCCAATACTTTCTTAACATGCATTCTGTAATCCTTATCGTGTTCGACGACAAAGATTAATCTTGCATATGCATAGATGTCTTAAAGTTTATTCATATGCATGTATGCGAATGTCACTAACACCTTGGAATAACTGTGAAATATATATGCTCTAGAATAGTTGTGATTGTTCAACATCTTTGATGCTTTCATAGATTTTTTTTATTTATAAATCTTAAAAAACTTTTAACCTTTAACAATAAAAGCTCGTACTCTTGGTATACACAGTGCTCTCTAACCCGATATTCTGAATATTATATATATACCTCTCTATCTAATCAAAATAAAATAAATTTGGATCTGCGCCGCTCGTCGTTCTTTCTGCGTTCTTAATCAGGTCTCCGGCTGTTTTACATAGCTTTGATGGATGAGTGAGAGAGCCTAGGGGTAATGCTTATTACAGGGTTTCAAATCATGGTCGAAAACGTGACAGCGCCCGCAAAATAGCGGTTTCGCCGCCGTCCGAGTTACCCGCTACACCCGCAATAGCACCCGCGACGGCTACAATCACGGTAAACTCGAAATGACCGAAAACACGACCGCAACCGTGATTTGAAATCCAAGCTTATTATGGTCCTGGATAAGGCCTAAGTGTGAAATTATTTAATGTTTTTTTTTATCTAAATGTAAGTAGAAATTTAGTTCTGTAAATTAAATTATGTATATATCGATTCAATTGAATTAAAAATATATCGTTACATTTGTATTTATTTATTTATTTAGATTTAAGTTTTGTAATAATTTTTTAAATTTATTTTTTAATAAATTTGTAGGAAACTCGAATATGAGAAGTCTCAACCTTTTGCTAACAGGGCAGAACCTTATTGACATTATTACTTATAATTTAGAAAATGGAAAGCTTTTTTTTTAGGGAAAAGTTAGTGAGTGACGTTGAATAAATCAATGGGTAAAGTACACAAATAGTTTTTTTAATTATAAGATATTATTTTATTGAGTACTCTGATTATTAAAAATTACGAAATGATCTTTTGATTATAGTGTATTTTTTTGTTGAGTCACTTAATTATTAAAAGTTATAAAATGGTTACCCGACTATTTATATGTTCCAAATTTGTCATTTTTTGTCAAAAAATGACGATAATTTGAGTTGGATGACATGTTAACCTACTTACTATGATATTATAAAATATGATTTCAAAATCTCCAATGACTATTATATCTTAGTTAACAAGTTAACGTTCAGCTAAGGCTGTCATCAAATTTTCAACGAAAAAGGACGAGTTTGAAATATATGAAGAGTCAGATGACTATTTTGTAATTTTTAATTGTTAAGGGACTCAACAAAGTAATATCTTATAGTTGAAAAATCATTTTGTAACTCCTAATAGTTGAAAGATTTAATAAAAATAATGTCCTATAATTGGAGATTATTTGTATACTTTACCCTAAATTAATTAGGGAGTACGTTAAAATAAATAGTAGTCATAAAATTGTTCTTAGGTAGCTATATATTTGTCAATATTATTGTATGATGATTCGAATTTGAGTGATTGATTTTGTCGATAACATTATCAAAATTGTGATTATTAATAAATGATTTTAAAACTGATTTTTTAATTAAGCTAAAGTAAGTACTCTCAACCATTTAAAATTTATATTCTTAAGAAAAATAAAGAAAAAATCATAAATGATGTATTTAAGGTTTTTCCTATTTTTTTCTTTGATTGCCATTACTCTCTTTCTCTCTTTTATCTTTATGATAGACATTAACACCAATTTTGGTTTTAATCGTCGATTGCTAATATTTATTGTTTTATTTATTTATTATAGCATATATTTATTTTATTATTTTTTAATAATTTTGTCTTCATGACATTATTTTCTCCGTCTTTATGACACATTTTTGATAATTTGACTGTTGTTTTTGTATATCTTTTTTCTTAAGGTTGGATTAGATATCGTCACCACTGATTAATATGACGTTTATTTGCCATTATGTTGATCTTTCCTGCTTTGGACCATTGAATTGGATTTGAATACATGATTTACGTTCGTTAATAGTTTTTTCACGTCACTCAACTTTGATTTACAATATATCGATAGTCTTTCAATATTTTGATAAAATTTTATGGATTGTTTATCAATGAAATCAAATCTGTGTATCTACCTTTGTTCGAGTTTATTTGGTTAAAATTTTAACTTTTTGTCATACCCCATAAATTGCCACAATATATATATATATATATATATATATATATATATATATATATATTATATGCACTAAGAATAAAATAATGTAGTGGCAGACAATGGCTTAACCACCATGCCATGTTATTTTTTTTATTGAAAACAATAGATGGTGGTCTTATTTTTAAATGTGGGGTGATTACTCATGTTTGGCAAACCCCCCTTCCTCCCGTGTTTTAAACCTAGTTTCCCCTCTAAAAGAATTAGTTGCTGTCACTTCTCCTCCTCCTCCTCCTCCTCCTTGCTCCGACAGGCGGTGCACGTCATTGCCACCTCCATCAGGTGCGCATGGCCTCCGTGAAGCGACCCCGACCAACCTCGCTCCGAAATCGATCACAGTTCGGACGAATCAAGAAGGAAAGTCTACGCCCAAAACCCCGATCGCCATTTCAACGACCATCTTGCTTCACCGCCCCCGATTTTTGACTCCTCGTCGCCTCCCGATCAAAACTCAGTAGGTGGGTTGCGTTGACATTTCGTCTGTCCGCCGTGGTTAAAGGCAGATCGTTTAATTTGGATAATATTTCAGTGTTTTAGCTTGAAAACATGTTATATTTGGTGTTGGTTTAGATTGTTGTAGCTTAGGGAGTAATCGGTCGCCGACTAGACCCTATTTCGTCAGACCACGTGCTCCCACGCGTCGTCGTTGCGCGTGGGTCTTGTCTTCATTCGAGTTTCTTCTAGAAACCGGTCTAGCCTGTCTGGACTGGTCTGAACCGATCCCACTCGACCCGAACTGTTTGACCCGACCCGTTAACTTTGACCATAGTTGACTTTTTGGGTCAAATTTTCTAAAAAGTCAAATTTATGAAGTCATATTTTGCATTTTTTAACTTCCTAAATCCGAAGTCTGTTTTTCCAAATTCGAACCCGAAAGTCTCCAAATTATCAGTCAAACCTGTTGACTTTTGACTTTGACCAAAAAATAAATTTTTTTGAAAAGTTATATTTTATGTTTTTCAATGTTCTAAGTCCGATTTCAAAGTCATTTTTGTCAAATTCAAACCCGAAAGCCTCCGAATTGGCCCGTAAACCTGAAAAATTCATATTTATCTAAGTGTTTTAATTTAGTTAATTGAACTGAATGGTTAAGGACTAATTATTGTTATGATATGTTTAAGGTACTCGAGGATCTCCTGACTGTTTCACTGCTCGACCTGGTTCCTCCCGATCCGCTCGTCCACGAGAAGCCGTGAATACTCGTATAGTTCTGAAACTCTGTTAGTTATTCTGTTTAGAATATTATTCCGAATATAACCCTGTTCTGATATGACTTAGGTTCCCGTTCAGTCGAAGAGCCTAGTGAAGCTGATGCTCGATAGATCTTCCATACTGACCCTATTATCGAGGTGTGTTCCTTATGTGTAGTATAAATGTTTTAAATATCTGTTTGAAATATCATGTGCACATGATTGTTTTCTTTGATTTGAAATGCAATGTTTGATCTGATTTGACTACTGTATGATTTACCTGATTCCGAATTTACTGAAATGCAAAGCATGATTGCCCGATTTATGATTTATGGATACTGGTTTAATGAACTGATGATCTGTCTGAACTCTGAATTACTGTTACTACTGGTTACCGTCTGAAAAATGTTTTCTTCGGGGTACTCTGGGTACTAGTATGAAGACTCTGGCAAGTTCAGTCGCTGTTGGTAATTCCTCTGATAGGTTCTGCACCGATTGGTAATTCCTTATAGACCTAAGTCGAGCATTGGGTAAGCTCTGTGGCCCTGAGATTTTCTTGGGTAAGCCTTTGTGGCCCCGAGAATTGTTTTGGGTAGGCTCGCAGGCCCCAAGGTACTCCTTTAGGTTGTGCAGTTCTGGGGATCTAAACATGGCGTTCGGTTGGAGGACGATGCAGAGTTTTTAAATTTAAAAACTCCTATGATGTTTTAATGATTGTAATCTGTATTGGTTTTAAAAATCACAACGGTATGTATTTATTTATGCGTTTTTCGAACTGTTTTACCATCTTTCAGATACTCTCGGATAGACACTCCGTATCAGACACTTGGAGGATTGGTACATTTAGTTCAGAGTATTTTGTTGTAATATTATGTCTTCCGAACTGTTTTTAATTATGGTGACATGTACCTTATTTTTGAAGTATTTATCATTTTATGACGTTTTTTGCTTTTGTTACTGATATTTGATTTTCGATGTTTCGTATTTATTTCATGTAATATTTTATCTGGTCTCTTTCATGTTTTATATTTACGAATTTAGTTTTATCGTTACTTATTATATATTTTTATAAATGTCATTTATAATATGATATATATATATTATCGAATAATGTTTTGGGAAAAATGTCTTTGAGAATCTTTAATGTAATCCGCTAGACTTAATCGAAACGCATAAGCTGGGTCTAGGGTGTTACACTTTTCCTTATATGTTCCCTTTATAATATTAAGTGAATATTTTTCTTGTGTTGATGGTTATAAGAAAATGTATTTATTATATATTTAGTTTATGATTATGATTATAAACTTTTATTGTAATTTATATATTTCTTAATTTTAATATAATTAATAATTTTTATTAAATAATAATAATAATAATCAATGATGAGATATAATGATAAAATTTACATAGATAATGTTCATTAGAATTTTTTTATCTCATTTTGTTTTTTAATTATACAAAAAACAGCTATTCAATTTATATTAGAAGAAGATGACCATCATTACTTGGAACAACCTTATATCACCATATTCGTTTTAATATATTTCTTTGAAATGGTCTATAATATCTATTCTTTTAAAAAAAAATCATACTCCAACAATACACGTGGCAAACCATTATTGGACAGACTATCGTGGCAAGTCAGCTCTTTCTCAAATAGTGCCCGAGGCAAAAAAAAAAGTACTTAAAAATATCAATTCTCTCTTTCATTTTCAACCCAGCACGGAGGCGATTTTCTCCTTGAAATAAACGAAAACTTGTTTCAAAGGTAAACTTCCTGCTCATCGAATCCTAATCGCATGCCTTTGATTCTCTCTCTCTCTCTCTCTTTGTTTCTTTTCATTATTTTTGAAGCTTGTCTATTGAGAATTTTTTTCCCCTGGGAAATGATTTGATGTAAGTGTGTTTTTGTTTCCAGATATGCATTTGCATGTATGATTATTTGTTTTAGAATGTTTAATTTTCGAATTTTGGTTTGCCAGATTTTCTCTACCGAATTGTGGATCGGCTGGAAATATCTTGATCTGTTAGCTTAGCTGATTTTTGAACCGATCATTTTTAATATTATCATGATATTGTTTTTAATAGAAGATTTGAAATCAGTTTTTAGATCGGATTGATTGAATTGATTTGCAGCATTTCTGGTAATTTATGTTGGATGCTGACTTTAATCTTTAGATCTGATTGATTGATAGGTCTGCTATATAAAAAAGTTTCTTTACAAATTGGTTTGGCTTTAAAATTTTATATATTTTCAAAACATCGGCTGTAATCTTCAATTCGCGTTTATTGCATGTTTCTCTTTGTATCTGTTATGCGGATGTGGCTGGATATTTATGCGTGCTTCTTTCTAAATTACGTTGTCCAAATTGTCGGAATTGGATGAAAGATTTAGAGATTGATAAAATGTCAGATAGTAATTAAGCAAAGATTCATTGCATGCCTGTGTTCTAAATATTTTTCTGACTAGGAAGATGTTTCAGCTTTTTCTTGATTTTGACAATCAATGATAGTACCTGTTCATCCATGTGTATTAAATGCATTATATATTTTTGCAAGTTCCTTAACTGACAAACAATTGCTGAATTTGTGTTGTTCTTCAGTTCCAAATTGTCGATATGGGAGGTGGGTTCAGAGTACTGCATTTGGTCAGACCATTCCTTTCATTTCTGCCTGAGGTTCAGAGTGCTGACAGGAAAATTCCTTTTAGAGAGAAGGTCATCTACACCGTGATCTCCCTCTTCATCTTTCTTGTGTGCAGTCAGCTTCCACTTTATGGAATACATTCTACGACAGGTGCTGATCCATTCTATTGGATGCGTGTTATCCTTGCATCCAACCGTGGAACTGTTATGGAACTTGGGATTACCCCCATTGTGACATCCGGACTGGTGATGCAACTCTTGGCTGGTTCAAAAATCATCGAGGTTGACAACAGCGTTCGGGAGGATCGTGCACTCTTGTAAGTGTTTTTCACTAGCCTATTTTAGGATTTTAACATCTTTTTTGCTAATTGATGGCTATTTTTCTCTTCTATAACTTCAAGGCAGTATTTATGCTTGGTTATAGTTTCTTTTGATAGGTCAGACAGTACCTTTATTTGTCCTTTATGATTTCAAATTGCATGTTATAATATTTCATGGTTTTATTTATGCGTGCTTTGCAGAAATGGGGCTCAAAAGTTGTTGGGCATCTTAATTGCTGTAGGTGAGGCAGTGGCATATGTACTGTCTGGTATGTATGGCAGTGTTGGACAGCTTGGTGTTGGAAATGCTATTCTTATTATCATTCAACTTTGCTTTGCTGGAATCATCGTTATCTGCCTAGATGAACTCCTCCAGAAGGGATATGGTTTGGGTTCCGGGATCTCCCTTTTCATAGCCACCAATATCTGGTATGTTACCATATTGTTTTCCATGTTCAACATAACTCAAAATGTATTCCTACAAGTGGCTATCCTAACTACTATTTTAATTGTGAAGTGAAAACATTATCTGGAAAGCCTTTAGCCCTACAACAATTAACAGCGGCCGTGGGGCTGAATTCGAAGGTGCTGTCATTGCCATGTTCCATCTATTGATTACTAGGACGGACAAAGTTCGTGCACTTCGCGAGGCTTTCTATAGGCAGAATCTTCCAAATGTTACCAATTTACTTGCTACAGTGTTGATATTCCTTATTGTCATCTACTTCCAAGGTTTCCGTGTTGTTTTGCCTGTAAGATCAAAGAATGCTCGTGGACAACAAGGATCGTATCCCATTAAGCTATTCTACACTTCCAACATGCCTATCATCCTTCAATCGGCTCTTGTTTCAAATCTTTATTTCATCTCCCAGGTAACCCATTTACTCTAGATGAATGTGGCTTCGTTTTTCTCTTAATGTTTGAACTTCTTTAATGCTGTTTATTTTTGTGCAGTTGCTTTACAGGAAGTACAGTGGTAACTTCTTCGTTAATCTTTTGGGAAAGTGGAAAGAGTCCGAATACTCTGGTGGTCAGTTTATTCCAGTTGGTGGTCTAGCATACTACGTTACTGCCCCTGCGAGGTTAGAATTGATCTTTGTCCGTCTTTGGAATGAAATGTTTGATTTTATTTCCTTTTTGGCTATTTTCTCTTCATATATGTTAATGCCTGATTTTATTCGACTTTTACTACAGCTTGGCGGACATGGCAGCAAATCCCTTCCATGCTCTGTTTTATCTGGTGTTCATGCTTTCAGCTTGTGCCTTGTTTTCGAAAACTTGGATTGAAGTTTCCGGTTCTTCAGCCAAGGATGTCGCTAAGCAGCTCAAGGTAAACAAACCATTACATCATCATCAGTAAAAAATGCATTTTCTGTTTTCTAAGAGTACTGATTCGCTGTTTGTTTGCCTCATTTATGAAGTGGAAAGTTTGGGAATCCCACGAGTCTCTAAGCTTTTGCGTAATATATGATCAAATGATGTCGAGCATATTCATTGATTTGATTAACCTGTCCTCGTTACCATTTTAAAAGTCATGTTCTGTGGTTACTTCTGCAGGAACAACAAATGGTGATGCCTGGGCACAGAGACTCAAACTTGCAGAAAGAACTGAACCGATACATCCCGACTGCAGCCGCGTTTGGCGGAATGTGCATAGGTGCACTGACCGTCTTAGCCGATTTCATGGGAGCAATCGGTTCAGGGACCGGGATCTTGCTGGCCGTAACAATTATATATCAGTACTTCGAGACGTTTGAGAAGGAGAGAGCCAGCGAACTCGGCTTCTTCGGCCTCTAAACTCCGAAGTCCGATGAATGGTAGGGGTAGGTTTCCACCTTTTGTTAAAACATTCCCCCCTGGATAGAAGTTATTGAGGTCCTAACTGTAACGTGGTGTCGTTTTAGCGCTTTTAAACACGTTCTTATTTATTTTTGCTGTTTTAAACCAGAACTTTGTAGTTTTTTTCCATTTCAGAATACAAATTCTATGTGAAGAAGCCTTGACTTCCTTGTTTTCTTTTATTTTTATTACGTTTTTTAATTGTTTGGGAGTAGATCATTTGATTTTTATCTCTAATTGGATCTGATTGCAAAAAATTAAATCAACAATTTTAAATTTTGACATTGAAGAAAGTTCAGTGTTTGACACTGAAAACATATTCCTAAATTTGACAAACATAGCGGCTCCATATAAATAAAAACCTCAGTTGAGTTAACCAGCGATCCAACGACAACCCAAAAGAGACCAACAATGTAGCACCAGAGGACAAAAATTAAAATCTTGAGACCAATCAACCTTCATTGGCTGCTAATCGAGAATCCATTTATTATAAAGTTTATATGCGGTACATGTGTCAACAGCACGACTTGGCTTTCTGGGATAATTTCCAATAGCCACCGAATCAATTGATAAACCGTTTTTTGATAGTGAAATTACATGTATTATGAAAACCCCACTCTAAATAATCACCATGCACATGATGGTTCAGGGGAATACGCCTCAGCAATTTGTCCAACTCATCTTGCTTCTTCAATTTGCTTGTATCCTATACTGTTAGAAGACCACCTGATCTTCCTTCTGAATTGAAACTCATCATTCATCTACAAGCGTCTTTTCTACATGGTGGCCTAAATGAGACTGTATTTGTGGAGCAACCAAACGGTTCGACTAGTTGTAGCATTCGCGGCGCAAAGAGGTTGGACTATCTATCAACTAGATGTCAAGTCTGCTTTTCTACACGGTTAACTAAATGAGACTATTTGTGGAGCAACCGAACGGTTATATCCAAAAAGGAAATGAGCATAAGGTTTATGTGCTAAAGAAGGCAATTTATGGGCTTAAACAAACACCTCGCGCGTGGTACAGTTGAATAGAAGCTTATTTCATCCAAGAAGGCTTTGAAAAATGCACTTTTAAGCATACATTGTTCATCAAAAAGCGACATGGTAAATTGGTAATTGTTAGCGTATATGTTGATGATCTTCTTGTTATGATGAGTTGATGATCATTGAATTTAAAGAATTTGATATGACAGATCTTGACAGGATGCGGTATTTTCTTGGTCTTGAAGTTCATCAAGAAACTAATGGCATATTTATCGGTCAATGTAAGTATGCATTACAGGTGTTGAAGCGATTTGAAATGGATAAGAGTAATCCGGCCAAAAATCCGATTGTCCCCGGATTTAAGCTTGTAAAGGATGAAGGAGGAGTTAAAGTGGATAAGACTTATTATAAACAAGTTGTAAGTAGTCTTATGTATCTTACGGCAACATGACCTGACATGATGTTTGTTGTAAGTCTTTTAAGCAGATATATGGAACATCCTACTGAAATGCTTTTACAGGTGGCGAAACAGACTTTGAGATACTTGATGGGTACAAGTGAATTGGGATCTTCTACAAAAAGGGAGGAGAAGAACAACTTGTTGCATACACAGACAGTGACTATGTTGGAGACATAGGAAGAGCACTTCAGAGGCTTCTAAAAAGCTGCCAGTTATAAGTTTATCTTCAACAGAGGCTGAATACATTGCCGCTGCATCATGTGCATGTCAAGCCGTATGGTTGTGAAGGGTATTAGCAAAGCTAGATCAAAATAAAAAAGCAGGCACCATTTTTTGTGACAGTAATTCAGCTATTAAGCTCTCAAAAAATCCAGTAATGCATGGTCGCACCAAACATATAGATGTGCGTTTTCATTTTCTTGGAGAATTGAACAAGAATGGGAGCATAGAGTTGGTCATTGGATTCAAAAAACATAATACATAGTCACTTTTGTTTTATTTTAATTAAGACGTGGTCACTAAAACGTTGACTTCCGTTAGTTTGATGACCGACACGTTAGTAAAAGAGTTTAGTTTTACTTTAACCCTGAACTTTAGATAA